GGCTATATCTCTTCCAAGACAAATGTTCGTTTTTCTGGCAGTCCATGGTATTTTCATTATTCACCAATACCACAATTCAAATGCATCAATTTTTCTGTGATAGTCATTCAGCTTTCACATACATACGAGGCTGTTGAAAAGACCATGGCTTGGGTCATGTGCACCTTAGTCTTCAAAATGATATCTTTGCTTTTTAAGACTAATTTTTATTGTGATTTGGGTGAAAGTTTACATAGCAAATTCATTTTCCATACAGCAACTCATACACATTTTGTTACATGACATTGCAATTCCCCACAACGTAACAGCTCTCTTCTCATTCCCACCTGTAGTTACCTCTTCTGGTGTACTTCTTTCCTAAGCATTCCTACCCCCTGAGCTATCTCACTGTGCAAATACTGCCCTTCTGTTTTCCATGATTGTTCTAAGCAGTGTATCTACTTGATGTAAATAGTCACCCTATATGCCTGTCTGTGCTTTGGAAGCCACGAGAGTGAGTTCAATTCCAGGCCTGAAAGGTAACTAGGGGCCATAGTTTTGGGGGTCTCACCAGGCTCTTACCAGTAAACCTGGTCTTTTTTATGATTTTGAGTTTTGTTCCACATTTTTCTTCCACTCTATCTAGAATCTGCACTGATCTCTGCGTGATTGACAGTGGTACCCTTGCACCATCTAGTTCTGGTCTCATGGTCATACAGGCTGACATTTGCATGGTCCACTAGTCCCTTGGACTAATTGTTTCCATGTGACTTTGGTTTTCTTCAAGGAGAGACCCATTGTTACATCTAGTTGGCTGCTTGCAGGCTTTTAAGACCCCAGTCACTACTCACCAAGTAGGAAATTGAACAATGTTATTGTGTACTATGTTATGCCAATTGAGCTTGATGTCCCTTGTGCCCATGGTCTGGAGCCGACAGATCAACCAACTCACTCCATCAAGGTGGTTAACTGTGCCTAAGAAGTTACCATGAGGGAGAACAATGTGGAACAAAACTCAAAATCATTTGGTAAAAAAAAAGGGGGGGGAGACCAGGTTTGCTGGTCTGATAGAGTCTGGTGGAATCACTGAGACTATGGTCCCTATTTGTCCTTCAGATCTGGAATTTACCCCACACGTGTGGCTTTCCACCAAATAAAAGACAGGCATAAAAGTTGAACATGCACCTGAGGTAGATAATCCCTTGGAGAGAACAATCACGGGAGAAAGAAGGGCTGTTTATGCACAGGGAGACAGTTCAGGGGGCAGGAGTGCATGGAGGGATGGACACAGGGAAGAGGTGGACATAGGGAGGAAGTGGGAGGGGAGGTGTTGCATTGGGGTAAACTGTAAATGTCATCAGACAATGTGTATGTGAATGCTGTATGGAAAGTGAATTTGCTCTGTAAACTTTCACCCAAATCACGATTAAAAAAAACAAAGTTACCATAACTTTGCCTCCTGTCATTGTTGCTGTTAAATGCCATGCAGCTGGCTCCAACTCATAGCGACCCTATGTACAACAGAATAAAACACTGCCAGGTTCTGAGCCAGGCCCATAATCCTTGCTGTACCTGAACCCATCGTTGCAGTCACTGTGTCAATCCATATCACTGAAGGACTTCCCCTTTTTCGCTGCCCCCTCCACTTTACCAAGCATGATATCCTTCTCCATTATTCACCAATACCACAATTCAAATGCATCAATTTTTCTGTGATAGTCCTTATTCATTCTGTCCAGGGAATGGTCCTTTCTGACAACACGGCCAAATAGGTGAGATGAAGTCTGGTCATTCTCGCTTCCAAGGAGCATTCCACCTGTACTTTTTGCAAGAAAGATTTGTTAGTTCTTCTGCCAGTCCGTGGTACTTTCAGTATTCTTTGCCAACAACACAATTCAAAAGCATCAATTCTTCTTCAGTCTTCCTTATTCATTGTCCAGCTTTCACATACATATGCGGCTACTGAAAATACTATGTCTTGGGTTACACCCATCTTAGTCTTCAAAGAGACATCTTTGCTCTTCAGCACTTTAAAGAGGTCTTTTGAAGCAGATTTGCCCAGCGCAATACGTCATCTGATGTCTTGACTGCTGCTTCCACGAGTGTTGATTGTGGATCCAAGTATTATGAAATCTTTGACAACTTCAATCTTTTCTCCATTTATCGTGATGCTGCTTATTGGTCCAGTTTTGAGGATTTTTGTTTTATGTTGAGGTGTAATCTATACTGCAGACTGTAGTCTCTGATCTTCACCAGTAAGTGCTTCAAGTCGTCTTCACTTTCAGCAAGCAAAGTTGTGTTGTCTCCATATCACAGGTTGTTAATGAGCCTTTCTCCAATCCTGATAGCCATGTTGTTCTTCATATAGTCCAGTTTCTTGGATTATTTGCTCAGCATACAGATTGAACAAGTATGGTGGAAGGATACAACTCTGACACACACCCTTCCTGACTTTAAACCATACAGTATCCCCTTGTTCTGTTCAAACAACAGTCTCCTGGTCTATGTACAGGTTCCTCATGAGCACAATTAAGTGTTCCGGAATTCCCATTCTTCTCAATGTTATCCACAGTTTGTATGATCCACACAGTCTAATGCTTTTGCATAGTCAATAAAACACAAGTAAACATCTTTCTGGTATTCTTTGCTTTCAGCCAAGATCCATCTAACATCAGCAATGATATCCCTCATTCCATGTCCTCTTCTGAATCCAGCTTGCATTTCTGGAAGTTCTCTGTCAATATACTGCTGCAACCGTTTTTTA